AAAGAGAGTATCACTGAGTAAAATTTGTTAATTCAATTCGGAATTTCTGAATTCGGCAATTAAACATGATCAAATATTGAATAAGAAAACTTAAAATTAAATATCGTGTATTTAAATCGAAAATATTTTAAACCTATGTAATATGATTTCTTTAACATTCTGTACATTCTACAAAGTGTCCTTAGATTTTTGAAATTTTGTATTGGAATATTAAAAATGCAAGTGCTTTGACATTGAAATTACCTCAAAAATGTACCATTCATTTTATATTTTATTTAAAGTATTAAAATAATTAATAAGAAATTTTTGCAAACTTTTATTCTTAAATTGAAATATTCATAATTAAATGACATGATTAATTTCTAAACAACGCATAATTTATGTGTGTATATTATGTTCACAATAAATTGTAGTTGTAAATTACAATAATTGTTTGAATTTAAAGAATTGACGGACAGTTATATTTAATTGCAATTTTTTTTTTAAAATACCTAACATACATACAAAGTCTTAAACAGTTTTTAGTTGAAGTGGTAAAAGAAAAGTCTTCCTTTAGTCTATTTTGATAAAATTCACTGCATTCAGTTCATTTACGATTAGAAAATAATCTTAAATAAAAAACGTAGCTTATATTTACAAGTCGTCATGTACTATGTACACATTTCTATAAACTGAGTGAAGTATTTTATAAGCATATGGTGCTAAAAAGGAGTAGCACGTCAAGAGATGTATTTTAAAATTACATTACTATTTCTTAAGAGTGTACTGCGGTGACTGATGCATTTCATCCGAAATTTGTTCGATATAATTAAAATACAATACGATAAATACACTACAAATATTTTAATATTTGTGTTATCTTTAGTTACATTGTTACTGTTAATTTAATTGAAAAATATTGCACATGTAATTATTTATTAATAATTATTCTCATTATTAAATCTACTACAATAACAACTACAATATTTAAACAATCTTTTAAAGCTAGATAAGTACATATCTAGCATGTCTAGATACTATGTAGGTAAAACATATAGTACGTATTATCTAATTTGTTTTTCCATCACATATCTATCAATTACATTAATGGTAAAAAAATTAAATTATTTGCAATATAAAAAATTTAATTTGATTTGATTCAATCATAACAAATAATAGTTGACACATAGTCAGTAAATTTCAATTAACACATCATAGATCATTCGTAGCCGTTCATCATTTCGGTTATTACAATTTTAATCATTAGTCATGTGATAAAATAAAATATTTCACAAAACTTTTTTATGACATAAAAGAACAATTGTTTACATATATGTACGTAATTATTATTTAAAAATATTTTCATTTTTTATACATGCATATATACATGTATTATGTATAACCAATAAACCGCGAGATAAAATAGAATACATATAAATACATACATACATATATGAATATGAATCACAAGTTAAATCTGACCGGAATTACGAAAATTTATTAAAATTATTATTTCATTTTCGACTGCAATTCACGTCCTAATTTTAGGTATATTGTATTCGTACAATTTAACTTTTATCTTAGCCAATGAGTCAGTCACATACTCTCTCCACCCACAAGACCTTAATTTCCTGAAAACTCACTATAATAATCAGGTAAAGAATATAATATAAGAGAGGTACACATTTTTTCTTCATGTTACAATGAGCCAGTTTGTCTGATAGAAATTATAACTACGTACTTATACGTAATTCCGTATGCCCAATTTCTTCGATAACCGAATAAATATAAAAAAAGAAATGGATTACTACCCAATATTTACTCGCGCAAACTTTTCAACTTTGTTATCAAAATAAAATTTTATTTTTGTAATGATAACAATACATTTGAACCAGTGGTTCTCAACCTTTTCACAACAGCAGCTCAACAAATATTTTACAAAATCTTTTGCAATAACTGTTATAATATAATTGTTATAACAAAATATAATTATTTACATTCAGTTCAAACCCATTAATTTTTAATAAAAATTAAAAAAAGAAATATCTAAAAATTAAAGCAATCTTTGAAAATATTTTTACTTGCGATAAACTTGGGACATAGATGGGATTTTGGGATTAGTTTACAAAAAGGCATTGTCTGCAATCAATTTTATTCAAAATGTGTGATTTAATAATTTCGGTCTTATGGACTATCTAGTTATAGAGGAGTTTTATGGCCACCAAAGGAACTATTTATGTTTATTTCTTCTGGATTCTTTTTGATATATTATTAATCCTAAAAATTAATGAGATTCGAAACTTCAAAATACGTATTTTATACACGTTTAAAGTAAATAATTTCAGATCCACTTGATAATTTTAATTCAAAATGAAAGTATTACGATTTTGAAATGATCTTTCTTTTTAAAATCTTTAAAATATTCGAAAAATTTTCTTTTTAATATGCAAATGAGTAATCATTTTAAAATAAAACTTTTCATTTTTACGATATACACTAATTTCGCAAACATTTGCCAAAAAACAAATTAGTAAATACATACTTAAGTATTATCAAAGTCAATGTTCGCTCATTTTAAAATTAGATTTAAAATTTCAGTATATTAAAGGAATGAATAGCAATTTTTTAAAATTTTTGTACAATATACATAAGTATATTGAAAGAACTTAAATTATTTTTTGTTTTAATGAATGTGTAGTAAGGTAACTCCAACGGCTTTATAAAATTTATATTACAAAAATTCAATATTACAATTGACCTAACACCGAAATTATTGAATTGCACATTTTGAATAAAATTGATTGCAGACAATCATTATTTTAAAATGCTGGTAACTCTATTTTTTTATTTATAAAAAATATATTTATTTAAAGATAAGATAACATGTATCCGAGAGTGTGCAAATGTTAGGTTTTATTAATTATGTGTAATGCTTAAATGCTTAAATATAATTAAAAGAACTACTTATACATTGGCTTGAAGCGGAAGCAATTAATAAAAATTAACACCGCTGAATTTTATCAATTACTAAATTTGAGTGGTGCTTAGCTTAAATAAATACATTATGTATTTTCTATATAAGAAAAGCTCAACTGAGGACCTGAATTCAAAATGTTTAATAATTTTTGTTGTTTTGATTTAGATATGAGTTCTTAGTTTCTATTCACTTATATATTTATTTCAAATAACAAATTACTTCAATTCAATTGTAATCAAACTTATTCCTGCTCTCGGATATTAGAATTTTGGTATCTTCAAATTTGCGTATTTCTCGAAAAAAACTTTCGGGACCTATTATTAACCTATAGGAACATTAAAATTAATTTAGTTTAAAGTTCCGAAATTTCTGTATCATATGATGCCAGAGATACTTATTAGTTATAATCAAGAAGGTTGTCCTTTCGTACGCGTTTTCTTTAAAGAGGCAGGTATATAATATAACATGCTATAAAAATCTTAGCAAGAGTCAATTATTTAAGTCTTAACAAAGTTTTTTAACAAATTAACAAATTGAGAAAATTATTTGCATGATTTTAATTTGATAAACTTAAAAACAAAAATAAACAAACTTGAAATAATCTTTGAATTTAGTGTGTAAATTTACATAACTGTAATACTTTCTGATAGTTAATTATTTAATTCCTATTTGTGATCTATATCATGAGGATTTGCTTTATTTCATGAGGAATAGGTAGCTTAAACTAACTATTATTTTATTGGTAGTATGAAATTTGTAAGAGTAAAACACAAATATGAATAACCATAAAGAAACGATTAGTTACAAGATCATATTAAACACATTTTGTATATATATAGAAGAGTCAAACACCAATTGAAAAATATATGTTCTCTCAAGTCGTACAAAAATTTCAAATTATTTATTTTAGTTTTGGAAAACATAATGCTTTCAAAAAAAATTTTTTATGCCAACATACATAAAAAATATTTGTACAAAAAATGATAGTCGAATACTTACGGTAAAAATAGAAATTTTACCTTATAAAATATTGACGAAACTTAATATCCTCCCTGAAATTGATAACTCACGAATCAGCAAAGGAATATCTTCAGATTCTACAAAAGTTCATGCATATATTATACAAAATATAAAATATTAAAATTTTGTAGATTCGGAAGATTGCCAAGATTCAAAAGTCTGCATTTTAAAGAATAAAAATGAACCCGCTACAAAATTATTAATTTCTTAAGCCACTTAATCTAATTTGAAATAAAAATTAGTAATATAGTAAACAAAATTAGTAGTATAGTAAGGTAAGGCTGACAAACTAGGAATGTTCCTTGACATTAATAATACCAAATTAGTTAACACTGTCAATAATTAGCACTTATTTGATTTCAGAATGTCATTTGAATTCTACTGTTGTTGGCGAATGGGACAGTAAATATTTGTATTTGAATTAAATGAAACTTTACTTCATATTCCCTACAAAATTTATTTCTATACCACATCAAATTTTTATTTTTCAATCAATCGAAATTTAATTAAAGCGTTACGAAAAATAATTTTTCTCAAATTAATTTTCGAAAAATTTTATTGTTTCAATAACATGTAAAATATTAATATTTCGAATACATTTGCGAATCTCGAGCACACCATAAACTTACCTTTCATTTAATTTTATTGCATTAGTATGAATTTAGCGAAATTAGTATGAATTTATATTATAAACAAATTCCGCAAATATTTAACTGCAAAATAATTTTTTCGCTAACTCAAATTTATAACATGATTTGCGTATTAATTCATATAACTTTCAGCACGCAACCTATTCGTTTAAATACTTAAGTAAAAACTCAAAAATCGTGCTGTTTGAACACAAAGTGGTTATTTTTAGAACATAGTATTTTAGAAATTTAATATAAAAAATATTAATTATGTAAATGCATGCGATTTATACATAAAACTAAATAATTTCTCCATATTTTAATGTTAAATTATTAAAAATGTACATAATTTTATATAATCTTTATTAAATTAAATATTTTTAATTATTTTCCAGTTGTGATTTGAATCAGTAAAAGAGACTTCTTAGCAGCACATTAGAAATGTATCCATACGTAAGTATATTTGATATTTACCAATGTATTGCATTATTTTTATATACATACATAGTTATTGGTATTTAAAATTTTGTTGTATGTATTTTAAAAGTTTAATTAGAGAAAATATATTTTGTTTTTCTATAACATAAAATTTTACTGAAAATACGCACTCTTATGTTACTTGTGCAATTTCTACTCCCATATAAAACTGTTTTATAACCAATACTAATTACTTATACATAAGAACATTATTATTTTGTATCGTTTTAAAAAAGTTTATGGTAAAATGCCGGTAACGCGAACAAATATTTTTTATAAAATTAAATTTGTACTTCACATCAATTTTAAGTACTTTTGGGTCAAAATCAAAAAATGTTTAATAAACTTTCAAAGTTACAAAACAATTAAATTTTTTCTTTAATTAATACAAAATGAATGAAAAAGATTTTTTTAATAAACTAAAAAGCAAAATTAAAAAATTGTAGGGCTCGGGTCCACCACAGTCAAATCAATATCAATCACCATATACAAATCAACAAAATAATGCCCCATTTGGTGCCGGAAATTGGGTTCAACCAAATCAACAACAACAACAAAATTATTCAGGTCCATCCTTTGGAAATAATCCTCCTTATCCTACTAATCCAAATCAGAATAATTCAACATTTCCCGGTTCATCTCAAACATCATATCAATCACCCTACACTCCATCACAATCTCAATATCAATCACCGTACACTTCAACACAATCTGCATATCAATCACCTTATACTTCATCTCAATCTCAATATCAGTCACCTTATAACACAAATCAACACCCTTATCCCCCAAATCAGTCATCCTCTCAACCCCCATATCCCACAAATCAAATATCCTCTCAGACACCGTATCCCTCAAATCAGCCACCGTATCCGCCATCTCAATTGCCTTATCCTAACTCCTCAAATCCTGACTCAAATAATCAATCAGGCTATCCACATGGAAACATGCCGGCAGCTCCTTTTGGGGCCGGATTTTATACGGGTGGCTCTAATTCTAATATAAATTCTGGGCAATCGCCATATCCTACAGCTTTCCAAAGCCCATATCCAAATTTAAACTCGAGCTCTACACAAAATCCAGCCGGTAGTAGATATCCAAGTTCATCTGTTCAATCAAATTATCCATCAACTCAGTATCCAAGTCAATCACAACCAAACTCTCAATACCCATCTACAAATACACATCAAAATCCGATGGCTGCTTCAAATATGGCTCAATGCTTCTCAGAAATGAGACAGTCAGTTTTAACAACATCAGCTTCTCCATTTAGTAGCAGCTCAAGATTAAAGGTTTGTTGGATTTTTTTGTGATTATGTACTTATTTTTGTTGTCGAAATTTTGTAAGTAACCATAAATGTTTGGAGAAGGATTTTTTCAATAAATTTTATAATGCTCAAATTAGCTTTCCTTTTATTAAATTCACAAAGCTTCTGAAAAAATCGAACTTTTTAATTTAATTTAAAAGAATAGTTTTATATGAATTTTCAAAGTTTTAGGACAATTTTATTTTCAGTTTCATGCCATTGAATTAATTTTCACAAAATTTCTCTGATCAGAATAGCTATCGAACTTCAAGTATTATTCTTTCGAATATTAAAACATTGTAAACTAACATTTTCGCACACTCATACGCATATTAAATGTAATTACGTTACTATATTAACATAAAGTTTTCAATCATATGCATGGCATTCCTTTTTTGTTTTTAATATATTTGTATAAAATTACATAAGTATTAACTTTATATACCTTTCTAGGGTACACCTACTGTTGTTCCGGCACAGAATTTCGATCCAGTCAAAGATGCACATGCATTACGAAAAGCTATGAAAGGATTTGGCACTGATGAAGATGCCTTAATTGCTATAATCTGTCATCGTACTAATGAACAACGTCAGGAAATTCAAAGACAATACAAAACTCACTTTGGGAAAGATTTAATTGAAGACATACAATCTGAAACAAGTGGAAACTTTGAGAAATTATTGGTTGGTCTATTAACACCTATTGTAGATTTTTATTGCAATGAATTATGCGATGCAATGAAAGGAATTGGTACCGATGAAGATGTTCTAATTGAAATATTATGTACATTATCAAACTCAGAAATTCATACGATTAAAAAACAATATTTGCGAATGTATGGAGCACATTTAGAATCTGAATTGAAATCAGAAACTTCCGGAAATTTCAAAAGATTGTTAGTTTCATTGTGCACTGCGCATAGGGATGAAAGCGGTCATGTAGATCAAGCTGCAGCTGCAAATGATGCACGTGAGCTTTTAAAAGCTGGTGAATTGAGAGTTGGTACAGATGAAAGTATGTTTAATATGGTTCTATGTCAAAGAAATTATCAGCAATTAAAACTGGTAAGTAATCTTAAAATTTTTGGCTCCCATAGAATCACTTAACACTATTATAGTATATATGTACATATATTTATATGTACTTTGTATATGTAATTATATAATTTCTTTGCTCTTTTTTAGATTTTAAATGAATATGAAAGTATCACTGGCCATTCATTAGAAAAGGCAATAAAACGTGAGTTTTCTGGAGATATTCAAGAAGGACTCTTAGCAATATGTAAATGTGTAACAAATAAAGCTGAATACTTCGCAAGTCGTTTGCATAAAAGCATGGCTGGACTTGGTACAAATGATCGACAACTTATTAGAGTTATAATAACAAGATCCGAGGTAATTTTATATATAATATATGCGTATATACCCACTTATGTATATCTATATACCTACATACTTATTTACATCTATGATACATAATACAATATCTGCCAGATCGGTTTTCTAAATTGTTTTTTTGTATTTTTTACATACATATGTCAGTTTTGTAAGATTTCAGATTATTTTAATTAATCTAAATTTTACTATTAACCTAATTTTATTATATTTGCTTTAATTTTTATATTTTTATACAAAAGTACTTTGAAATCTTTTAACTAATTTTAGGAAAATAGTTTAGAATTTTAGGAAAATAGTTTAGAAACTAATTTAGAAAATAGTCACTATTTAATTACAAATACCAATTAAATTCATAATTTAAAATTTATATTACTGATGAATATACAATTGGCGAATAAGAAATTCCTTCTTATGCAATGATTTTTAAGAAAATTCAATATGTTACTTACATCCTAGTGACCTAGTACATATGAACATGGTACAAAAACTTTCCGAAAGTGATGTTTTTAAAAGTAGCCAATTTAGGAAGGCTACATTTGAAGGAAAGTGAAAAATTGAAATGTGCAGTAAATTCATATTGTTAATGACTTTAAAATATCGCTTGTAAAATTTTTAATTTTTACTTGTGCAGAGCTCAAAAGTTGAGGGTTTTAAGTATGTACCTACATACATAAAAAATCAAAACCGTAAAAGTAAAATTAGAAGTCTATAATTTATTTACATATTTATACACATACATTTTATATAAATATTTATGAATTTATAATTTTAATATAGGAACCATTATATTTTTAACGTATAATTACAGATTGATATGAAAGATATTAAAGTCACTTTTGAAAAAATGTATGGAAAGAGTCTTAAGAGCTGGATTAAAGGAGATACATCTGGCGACTATAAACACGCTTTGTATGCTTTGATAGGGGAACAAAGATCATCATCATAAAATTGAAAAAAATTTCCAATTCCTTTCGTGTCCAAACAATTTTTTTTAAAATACATATGTAACAATAATATGTGGATATTTTTTGTTTTTTTTTTTTTTTGTATTTTTTAAGCATATTTTGTAAAGTATTGTAGTCTTTTACAGATTAAAATTAGTAATTGAAGATTTTTCATTTGTGTAGTTCTTTTAATACTTATTAAATTTTTATGTAATATTTAAAATAGAAAAATAGATTTTAATATTTTTAAGGAAGACAAAAAAAGTAAAAAATAAAATTATTAAAAAAAAATTACATTATGTATATGTTTGTATGTATGTTATTCGGCTATTCTTATTTAACAAAAATTACTATAAAACATTAATATGATATTTTTAAATTTATTTTATAAATGTTGGTGTCCAAACATATAATGTGTACATAAAATAGTATTTAGATTTGTATGCATGTATATTACTTTTAAAATAAATAATTCCAACAATTAGAAAAAATTTTTTCTTGTATTCTGCGTCTGATTTAAAAAGACGATTTTTTTATTCAATCTTTCTGAAAAACCTTCTAATTTTGTATGTAATTTTACATAAGATAGATTCAACTTGTGGACAAATGCTTACAAATTCATAATTTTATTCCTAATTAATATTTTTTTTTATTTTTTCATTTGCAGCAGCAACTTAATTTAAGATATATAAAACAAAAAAGTTATGGACAATTCCACTAAATGTTTTACAATTAGAAACAATAGAATTTCATACGTTATATGAATAAAAATTCATTCTAAATTTAACTCTAGTAAATTCCCTAAAATAAATGCAATTATTATTGAAAATGCTATAATATGCCATTGCTATATATTTCTATCACTAAGAATATGAATTCAAATAAAAAATTACATTTGCAGTAAATTTGTATTTTTTTGCTTAATGGATTAAATTTAGAGATAGTTTTTATTATTACTCAAAAATAAAAAAAAATTGGGTTCATGTTTTTTTACACCTTTTTTTTTATTACAATTTAATACAGGTATTTTGTTAATGACTTATATTATTTCACGTCAATAATAATGGATTGTATGTTGTTTTTTAATTGGTTTTTTTTACAGAATTTACATAATTCACAATAAAAATAAAAAAAGGCAAAAGTCGTATTGCAAACATATTACAAATAATAGTATTCAATTACATTTTAATAAACCAAAAACTATTTACTTTGTCTACCTAATTAAAACGAGAAAAACTGAAAAATATATTGATATATAATACAAAAACAAAAAAAAATAAACTTTTTAAATATTTTCTATTTAAAATCAAACGGTGGTACATTCCTACTTGTGTATGGTCCCATTGGTATAACAATAACTTGAATATGAATACTATTCCTATCAGGACCAATTAAATGAGGACTCAATTTCCTGGAGGATGTAGCTAGTTCATCATAATTTAATAACCCATCTATGTTAACCACTTGAAACGACTCGGAAAAATATTCAGTTCTTTCATGAACAGTCAAAATATGAGGAATTTTGTTCTGAACACCAGTTATCAAAACTGCGATCTACAAAATTATTAAGAATATTTGAATCATATTTATAAATATATTATATTAAAAAATTGCAAAAAATTTTATTTTAAATATATTATAATACCATTTAAGTGAATAATCCACAACTTATATAATTTAATTAAAAGAGAATCTTACTTTGAATCGTTGCTCCTTTTTGAAATTTTCTTTGCATGTTATTCTTAATCTTACAGTTCGTAACACAAATTCAGGTATATCTTCACCCCAAACCATTTTTGCCCTATCATATTTAACTCCACGTGGAAAAAATTCTATTTCCCAAGATATACATTGGTCTTCAAAACACAAAAAATTAACACCTACAAATTATATTTTAGAACATTTTTTTACCATCTTCTCTTTCCCTTTCTGCTAAACTTTTCTGTGAAAAAAAGCATCCAACAAAATTCTTATACTTTTCTACTTTTGCAAATTCTTGAACAAATAAATTTATACTTCCAACATCGTTTGAATAAAGTCTGGGTGTAAATTGTAAGGAACTCTGTTCAGAGTAAAACAATTCACATAATCGTTCATCATGACCTGAAGTTAGCATTAAATTGAAATAATATTTTTTAAGTATCTTTTTATAAATGATTTAGGTAAAATAATTTTACCTGAATGATAACTCATTCCTATAGCCATTCTTTGTACTAAAAATTCTTTATGGTGTTCAACAATCGGATTCAATAATAAATGTGCTAGTTCCTTTGGCGTCATCATTGCAAAACGTATGTGAACTACAGTCGATTCTAATAATTGAATATAAATGGCTTTCTTTTCTTCATCTGTATAACTACTGTCAGAGTCCAATTGTTCTTTTTTACTAACTAACCACTTCTTTAAAATGTTGAATAATGTATATTCACTTTTAACAACAATATCATTCTGTTGTAACAGAAGTATTAGAATATTTGTATCTAATTCGGCAAAGTCCTTTGATTCTGATACCATTTCTAAATTATATTTTAAGTATTTTTTTAGAGCTTCAGTGACTTCTTGATGATAAGGACTTAGTGCAATTGTATACTGTAACCATGATATTAAAAAGCCCTGCATTGCCGCTTTTGCAATATGTTTGAGCATATAATCAACACAAAGTTGTACTAAATCCTAAAAAGTTAATATAAATATTTTAATTCGAAAATTTAATCATTTACCCACAGCTTCACTTTTAAATCAAATATTTTTTTTTGTTTCAAATTGGTTTTGTTTGTTATATCTGCCGAACATGTTTACTTACCTTAATATTATATTTATCAGCTAAAGACAACATTGGCATTACGGTTTGTAAAGATATACGAATTTGACCAACATATAAATATTTCAGAAACTGAGGAAATACTAAAGAGCAACTAGGTTCTTCTTTTAATTCTATTACACTTTTTCGACATTCATTCCACTCAGGATTCATTAACATAACTTGAAAAACTTCACTGCTAGCGCATAAAATAACACGATGAGCTGCAAAAAATGGAATGTAAACTGAAATTTGCTTTTAAAAATGATCATGCGTTTTTCACCTGGGTAACTATTATTTCCAACCACTAAACAAATATCAGACATTAATTGCTCAGCGTACAAGTTTGCGATTTTATGTAAAACACTTTCAGAATTGTTCATCTATTTTAAAGAATAAAAACATATTATAGTTAGTATGCCCACTCATAAAACATGTGTACCTCTACCACGCTTGAATCCTGACTTGATTGATCAGCATCAGTATCATCCATTTTTTCTGGTGGAGGTGTTATAGTACTAGAAGAGCATTCTTCATCCATTATTGTTTTCTTACTATGTCTATTATAAATTTATTGATTTTATGTATAAAATTTTAATGTTAAAAAAATCAGAAATTTACTAAAACTCCGACTTTTGCAACAAAGCAAATTTGTTTAATTTCAAATGATATTTTAGTCAAAATATCATTTTCTTGATACTTTGGAATAAAAGTACCTAAACTGAAGAAAATCAGATGTGCGCTAAGTTTTAAAATAGTTGAAGTAGAAACATAAATTATTATAATGTAGCTCCGTTTTCTGGAAACAAGTAATGTGTACCAAGAAATGAGCAGGGAACCACAACGTGTTTTAGAGAGTTTTTTAAAAAATTCTGAAACTGTCCACCCAACTCCACAAAAAAATTAAAATCACTTAAATATTAAAATACAATTCTAAATTATTATTTTTTTCTTTCTTTTTATAATTCGACAATTTGTCAACAGAAAAATGTCAAGTGTCAATAGTATAAATTGAATTGTCTAAAGCTTACTAAGGGTGGATTTGAAATTGCAAAAACTTAATGTTTGTTGCGATAAAACAGTAGCAAAACTTAACGTATGGCACATGCAAAATGCCATCCGTAATATAATAAAGGAATTTCATTACCAAATGAAAGTTCATACCTATACCTTTTTAATTTTTATATTTTGTTGTCAATATTTTTTTTTGTTTTCCATTCTCAGCTTGTGTTTCAAAATAATTAAGTTGTAGTAAATTAATAAATATTTTTTCGATATTCGGTAAAACAATATTACGATAATTTAATCAAATCATTGATCTAAATAAAAAGCGTACTGATTTAGATTGAGCAGAATAGACTTACCAACTAAGAATAATCATTTTATTAGTTTTTAAAAAGGAATACAAAATTAAGTATATGTTGCGAAAAATTTTAGTTTTGATATTTGTTGAAAATAAGCGCATTACTTTTTGCAAGTGTTACCTTTTTTAGTCTTATCGCGAATAGTTCTCAGTATGTAAGATAATCTTCACATTTAGGTAGCACAAACTAAGGTCTAAGTTAGTGAGAGCTGCAAACATGAACCCAACTATAGTTAAATATATGACATTTTATACACAAAACTTAGAAAACACAACCCGCCTTAAGTCAAAAACAGAACAAGAGCAATTTTCCGTGGCGAAATCCATAAAAAATATAATTTCATATAGAAATTCATATAAAATGTATATAGAATATAATTCCATATAGAATATAAAATACAAAATATAACTCCAAAATTCACGAAGAATTATATGGAATTGTTTTTTTTGACATCTGGTTCCACTCGTGTGTGACATTACATGCAAAATACTGAACAGTTGATTTTTGCCGTTCCATATTGTTCTGAGTTGATAACGGAAATCATCCGCCGTTCCCTTTCACTGCTTTTGGTTCTCCTTCTACAATTAAAGTTTTTCAAGTTTTAGTTTTTGTCAGAATAATGAAGTGTCACAATTCTTTGATGTTATAATATTCTTAAATTTAATATTGAATGATTAAATTAATGTTCATATTAGGTCTGTTTGATATAAAACTTGAAAAATTTTAAGAGAAATTATGACGTAATTTCCTCCAAAAAAATTCTCATTTAAAAAACAAATAAACTAGATGGAAAACTTGAAAAAACTTTTAAAAGCTGTATATAAACATAATCAAATTTATTTTGCTTGTGAAAAATTTTGAATTTGAACTATAAAAATGTGAAAAACCATTCGCGAATTCTTTTTGTTTATTCTATTTTATTTTTTATTAAAAAGTTTTAAAAAAAATTATTATGGATGAAAAAAACTTTCTGAAATAAGCAAGAAAAACATATGTTTCGACAGGTTTAAAATTTTAAAAGTTTTTAAAACACTAAGGACCTAATCGTCTATCTCACTATTTTACTTGGAAAATGAGAAGAAAGTGAGTAACTATTATATATTTGTATAATAAAATTTTCGAGTGAAAAGAATTATTCCGATTGCGTATTTAGTTTTTTTTTAAATTGTTTTTGAAAAACATTCAGTCCATAATTTGAGTAAAAATGCTAAAATCCAATTGAAAAAATGTGTAATCTTATTTGAAAATTGAAACATCCATTAGAAAATATTTATAATTTTGATTTGAAAGTGAATAAAAAGTGAGTAAAAAAGCGAAATACACAATCAGACTAAATTTTACTTAACAAAACTTGAAAAACTTTAAACATTAAAAAAATAAGAACGTCATAATTTTCTTTCATTTTTGTTCAAAAAGTATTTTGACATTTTGTTGCTAGTTGTTCTCACCTGATCCCTTGCTTTGCAATATTGTGTAAAAACGACTATAATTATTATTTGTTCACGATCTCAGGAAAAACAAAATTTCCAATTTCCAAGAAAAAAATGAATCCAAAATATACCCAACGTCTTAAAGTACAATTATTATTCTAATTTTTGACAAATTAACTCATAATTAATATTAAATTGCTTTATTCAACAATAAAAGTTTTGTTATTTATAGTAAATTTTTTTAAGATATCACATACAATTTTAAATTCTATTAAATTTGAAATGTAAAAGTTAAGGTCAGAAAATACAAATGTAGTTTTTAAACTATGCATTAAGGACGATTCACCATGAAAATGGAGAAATTTTAAAAAATATGTATAGCCAATGTATTTTCTATTACACTCAGTTTATACCAAAATAATTCAGGTACGTTCTTGTTTAAATGTTTTAGATTTGAATACACGAGTATCTTTTTTACTTTCTTCTAATAAATTCGGAAATCTGCTTAGAAAAGCCAGCAAATAACATTTTTTGAAGATAAAGCAATTTCGCCATTTAATATTAGCAGCATTTTGAAAGTTTTATAATATTGTCTTTATTTTTTGAGAAATAAATATATTCATATTTCAGCAAAATTTTCAAATGTAGCGAATTTCTATATTTTAGCAGATTTAAGTAAATTTAAAACAAAAATGTATTCAAATGGATACAATTTTATCCAAGTGTGAACACTGTTCTCAATACTGAAGGTTACAACACAATACAAACATTAAAAATTATAAATAAACATTACGAAATAACTACATTTAAAAGTAACTAAATTATTTTTTGACAACGTCAAAGTGTAAAATTAATACGACTTGTAAAAAGATTAAATAATAATTTTTGATAAAAAAAAAACCCTTTCTCGAGGGAATCCTTATTTTTTTTACTATAACTGAACTGAAATTTAATATAGCCTTATGACTAATATAATAATATATTATTATTAATATATACTAATATAATAATATAAAAATATGCATATATGAGACAAATATGTAATATAATACAATTAGTAAATTTATATATGTACATACATATATATGTATATATTAAATGTGCATTTTGCCAAATTTAAAAATAAGTAGTCGATTAAAAGTTTCACAAGAGAATAAATATTTAATTTTTCTTTTTTTGTAGTGTACTGTAGTATTTTATTAAATTCTTGAAAAAAGAACAGAGTAGAAGGTTTTTTAAATCAATTTTTTAAAGTTGTTATAACAGTAAACTATAAACATGTTAGCACTAGTAAATTAAGAAAAGATTTATTTCAATTTTTCTTACAAAAAATTAAAAAAAAAGTATTCTTGTCAGGGACTTACATTTTTAAAAACAGTCCTTTGCTTCGCTAAATCGTTCATAAGCATACGTATATATGTATGTACATATATTTTGACTCGCCAGTTTTGAATTGTTATTATATTTTCTTAGAATCACTAGAGGGCAGTCTAGGTTCGCATTTTTGCCAGCAGCAAATATTTCGCAAATTAATAGCAAGTAGCAGTATTTCGCAAATGAAATATCGAATCTCATTACACTTAATAAGCACACTAGCTGCTGGCTATTTTTAGAAATCTTGAAAGGTATGAAACAAAACGGAAATAACGATTTCAGGAACGTGAATACATTCATACATACATGCATAGTTATATGTTTATTCATCATAAATAATTTGAGGTACAATCTACAAATTATTAGTTGAAATTTGTGGAAATAGGAATATAAAAAAATGCGTACATATTGTTATAATTAATAAACCTTGACATTACAAAAAATCTTACAAAAAGTATTTCTGTCAGCCGTGGTGCATACTTGTTTTTAAATATGCATCAACATACGTATATGTATGTATATATCTTTACTTATATTTATTTTCAAACTGACTGCAAGGAATTGTTTAAAAATTTTTGCCTGTGGTTTTGAAAATGAGGTTTGTGCCTTAGTTTAGTTTATATTAATTATTATAAGTATAGCAGGAGTGCAAGGCAGGGTCCTGAGTTTTTGAGAATTTAAATTTGATGCAGGACAGAGTTTTAGAATCATAATTTCCAATTTGTATCAGTCAATTTAGTATCCAATTTAGAATTTATATTGGTTTCAGACGGTTGAAATAAAAATAAAAGTAAAATTGTTTGTGTATTCAGCTGAAATTTGTAGAAATTATTTAAAATACTTGAAAAACATGTAGTTTGTTTGTTTAATGCTTTCTATTTATATTTATATAAATGCATTAATTTTCAAAAAAATTTATTAAACTGTTTATACATTTAATTGAAACTTTTAAATATCCAATGCACAATACCTATTGTACTGTCTACTTTATGATTACAAAATTTCTATTTTTTGTACAATTCATTTTATATGTTATGTATACTCGTATTAACTGTAGAAAGTATTTTTTGTATATTGGTAAACTAGTTTAATAAACATACTAAATTTTAAAAACTAAATATTGTAAAAGCTTAAATATTATAAACGACAACAATCCGTTAAAAAAAAGAAAACAAAATTTAAAAATTACCATAACTAAGAATAGATCTCTGCATGAAATCTGTTTTCTACAACTCATCATGCATACTACTTGTAAGAGCAGAATCTACAAATGCTAATAAATCATCATAATCCCTTTCGCCGTAATATTCGTTAACTTTTTCCGAATTTTTGTATAGGAACAACGTGGGATAGCCTTCTATTTGTTGATCATTACACAAATCACGATTTTTAGTACAATCCACTTTGGCAACCCGCATTCCCCGGTAATTGTTGTGAACACGTTTGGCAATTTTTTCCCAAACTGGTTCTAAGGTTCGACAATGACCACACCTAAAAAATTAAGCATTAAAATTTTTGAAACTCTCCAGCATTTTCAATTACAAACCATGGTGCATAAAATTTAACAAATGTATATCCTTTGTTAACCATTTGATAGAAGTTTTCAGAATTCAATACACTAACTTCTGGTGGGAACTGTTCTACAGCATCTTCGCCCATCATTTTTGTGATATATGCTTTGAAATCTTCAAGACTACGTGATCCTGAATACTTCTCAACTTTTTCTCCGTCTTTAAACCATAATAATGTGGGATAACTTTTGACACCATGCTCTTGACAGATCGGTCTAAACATTGTACAATCGATTCTAGAAATTCTTAGTTTACTAAGATGTTTCATTGATTCAGCTAATTCTTCCCAGGTTGGAGCCAACTTTTGACAATGACCACACCATGGGGCATAAAATTCAATAAACCTATATTCTTTATTAATATGATCCTGAAATATTTCTTCATCTAATTCTACAAGTGCTATTGGTGATGTTTCTTCTGAAACAGCTTCCTACATGTAATATTTATATTATTTTTTTATACATATGCAAAATGTTAAATTCATGCTCTTTTTACCTCTGGAATATGCTTTTCTTCAGGAATATGTTCATTTAAAAAGCTTTTCATTGATTCCATATCTCTATGACCTAAATATCGGATTGGTGCTTCCCCCTTTTTAAAAAGTATTATTGTCGGGTATCCTGAAGTTTTTGTTTCGTTATTTTAGATCTGTTTTGGAGCCTTTGAAAATAATTACCTTTAATACTTTGATCAGCGCACAACTCTTGCTCATTAGTACAATCTACTTCAGCGACAACAAGATTTGAGCTTGGATGATTTTTCTCATTAGCCAGTTCTTCCCAGATAGGAGTTAGTCTTTTGCAATGTCCGCACCTAAGAAAAAGTAATCTTGATCAGAGATTTATATGTTTATTTAATGAGCTTATCATTTACGAAAATTTCATTTAATTAGGTATATTGTATCACTAATATAGGCTTTCCTATCTTATTTAAAACTTTTATTTACGAGCTATTTAATATTGATGTACAAACACGGAGTTTAAGCTTAGCTGCACAAATTATAGTTAAATAACAATTAAGATTAAAATTAGATGAATTTTCTTAAAAACTTTCGTTATTTAATTAAATTTAAGAATATATTTATTTTATATCAAATTTTGAAACCTTACCATGGTGCAAAGAAGTCAACAAAATAATTGTTTGATTTTAATGACTTTTCAAAATTATCATATCCCAATTTTACAACTTTAGACTCTTCTTCACAAAAACTTTCACTCATTAACAATACAATTAAAAACGAACTAAATAAAAACATTGTTAAATTTTTTGCTGATTAAAATAAATTGCAACTATCTCTTGATAATTATATTGGAAATTATACAAAACTATAATAAAAGAACACAACCGGTAAAGTGAAAGAACTCAAACTGAATGACAGTTCGTTTTCGTTTCAGTTCACAAATAACCTCGTATGTGCTGCCAGTGCAAATAAAATTTGAGATAACACAAGTATATTTGCATATTAGTATTCAAAATAATTCAAGGCTATTTAATTGCAATTTACAAAATGTTTATAGTCCCTAGCTTGAAAACCTGTATAAATATTTAATTTGGTATTGGTATGTTACAATAAATGAACACAAAATTTGTATTTTTTAATTAAATTTTCTTATAAAATATGAACAGTTGATACGCTGATGTGCTAAAAATCAATAATTACAATATAATTAAACACTTGAGTCATTAGTCTTCGGTGCTAGTTTAGGCAGCTCAACGTAAATCAATCAACATGCATATTTGTTTTTAAATTAAGTTAGTACACGTAAATTATAATGTATGATCGGAAATTGGTTCGGAATTAAAACTTATTGATAAAAAAAACGTACCAACAAATTTCTATACCTCCATAAACATTTGCAATTGACAATCAAAAATTGTAAAAAACTTAAGATAGAATACAAATCATCGCAAGAATTAATGAAAGTTAGATTTTAATTAAAAGTTAGAATGCAATACGTCTTAATATTTTTCATAAATAAATAATAAATTTAATAAGGTATTGATAATTTTTTGTATTGAGTATTAAATCTTAATTTTGGTTAATAAAAAGCTATGCACTCTTCATATTTCTGTATTTTTTATTATTTAAAATATTTTGTGGTTGTAAGTTTTTTTTTTTTCAATTCTATAAAATTCCAATTCTGTACCTTTTTAAAAAAAAGTGCTTTGGCTTGACATTTTTCCTATACTGTTTTTATTAAACTATTTGGTAAATCTATCTACTCTACTACTCTGCTTCAACATTATAGTTATAGTTACAGTTATAGCCTAATTAAAGTTGCAATTCCGCCAAAATTAAGAATTTTGCAAATTCTTTTCTACTAATCATCTGGTAATACCATTAGAATTTGAGTTTGTTGTGAAATGTTACAGCTGGTCCTTGATGGAGCTACTTTATGCTATAATAAACAAATATTTGTGAACCGTGATAAGAATTACATAGTTTTTGTTTCGTAAGTCATATTAATTTCTTATAAAGATTAGAACGTGATAAGCTTCTGCACTTTAAATGACTTTTTTTTTATTACGAAAATTACGTTTGCAATGTTTGTGTAATACCCTAATATTTTAAACGTTGCGTGTATTAGGGATCATAACTATTTTGAATATTATTTGTTTTATTAATAAAGTTAAAAATGAGTTCATCGCAAGATCCAAAATTTAAAATTAAACCATATCAGCAGATGACAGCGGCCGTTACCGGTGCCATAACAACCTCACTTTTTAGTAAGGATTATGGAAAAACCATGTTTGTATTTGTTGATTTTGTAAATGTTTAATTTTTTTAAATTCCAGTGACTCCTCTCGATGTTGTAAAAACTCGTATACAAGCACAGCAAAAGCTTATGTTATCAAATAAATGTTTTTTATATTGCAATGGTTTGATGGACCATTTATGTCCATGTGGTCCAGATATGTCTAATTTTAAAAAAACGATTCATTTAAATGGAACCATTGATGGTTTAATTAAAATTACCAGATCTGAAGGACTTTCAGCATTATGGTCGGGTTTGGGACCAACACTAATCAGTGCTTTGCCTTCAACTGTTATTTATTTTGTGGCCTACGAGCAATTTAAAGAATTTTATATGAATTTGTATAAGAAATATATTAATAATCAGTTAATAGATTTAAGAATCCCAGTATATATCCCTTTAATATCTGGTGCTAGTGCTAGAGTATTAGCGGTTACATGTGTTTGTCCATTAGAGCTAATTAGAACGAAAATGCAGTCAGAGAAACTAAGTTATATGCAGATGAATCAAGCTTTGAAATCTGTGATTAAAATTGATGGTATTTTTGGTCTATGGACAGGATTAAAGCCAACAATATATCGAGATGTTCCTTTTTCGGCAATTTATTGGACCTGCTATGAGACGATAAAAGCCCAGTTTAATGTTTCAGAACCAACATTCGGGTTTAGTTTTTTTGCTGGAGCCACGGCAGGTTCGGTAAGTTGTATAGTGTATCCAATTCAATTATCTGTTACATTAATCTTACTTTTTATAATTCTAGATATCTGCTTTTATAACGACTCCATTTGATGTTATCAAAACTCATCAGCAAATTGAGTTGGGAGAGAAAGTTTTCTATACAGATAAGCCTGCAAAATCAATGAAAGTTTCAAAAAGCATGGCAAATTCTATTAAGGAATTATACATAAGTAATGGCTTTAGTGGATTATTTGCAGGTCTTTCTCCTAGAATATTTAAAGTTGCACCGGCATGTGCAATTATGATTGCTACTTTTGAATATGGAAAATCTTTCTTCTATAAATACAATAAACAGCACCACAATGCTTCTTCGTTTGATGTCATTAATAATTAGAATATTTTGTACAATATATTCTGTTTAATTGAACATTTAAATAATATTCACTAGAAAATGTGGCACTGAGCTATTGCTATTTATCCAATTCTTCCATAAAATTAGTTAATACATAATTTCCAATATGTATATATGTATGTATGTACCTTATTTTAAGAATTTTTTAATTAAATTGTTTTGAAATGTTTTTTTTTATAAAAATCCGTTTTTGTTTACCGTTTGAGAATATTTTTAAAATTCATCAAATGCGTTCCTGTTTAATTTGTGGACGCAATACTATTAAAAGAATAAGGCGTGAACTCCCGATAATCTGAGAGAAAAGATTCTTTCTTTTAAAAATTAAGCTAAAGTTCTTTTGAAAAGAAAGAAACATGACTATTTAATATTATATTCTTCTTAAAATAGTAAAATTTTTAAACAAATAGAGTAAAATTGTTATGCTTTCAATTATATAGAAAAAGCAAGAAGTTTTTTTTTAATTTTGAAATACTTTGCATCTTGTTCGTTGTAAAGATTACAGAAAAAACAACTTTGTTAAAAGGTAAATTTTGAAGATTATGTTGTGACTTAACGATTCCAAAATACATATTTCAAAGAAAAAATAAATATAAAACTTTGATTTTTGATAGTTTCTCTTCATAGAATAGTACAAAAATAATACCAGATTGCTTTTAAAAACGATTATGAACTGATAACCAGGAAAACCTTTAAGACTTGCAAAACTCAGTATCTCCCTGGCTGAAGGTACATAATAAAAAACTTAAAATTTAATGAAAGATAAAAAGTTCATTACTTTTAGCGGATTTTTGAAAAATTAAGCGAATTTATCAATTTTTAAAAAAAGTGCTTTGGTTTAACTTATGGTTTGAAAATTTTAATCTGTGAATAGTACAAATAACCCTTTACATTATTTTCGTTGGTAAAACGGAAATAATTTGGTGTCCTCGTATTATATTGGTATCTTTCTGTTATAATCGCAACATAATGTTCACTTGCATTTTTTTTTATTATACTACTTCACTCCGAAGAGGAGCATAGGGCTGGTACCCAGTTTCTGACGTCATTGAGTTTACTAGGTAAGTGAACCTAGTTTTTCTTTATATTAGATATTTAAAGTTATTTATATTTATTGTTTTTATTTGTTCACTTAATGGCATGTACATATTTCATATTTTTGGTGAATAAAATTAGTTTATCTTCTCCTTTCTATAGCCTCAATAAGTTTGAAATAATAAATTGTTTTTTATAACTCGCAAATTAATTATATGTACATATATTTACTCGACTTCAAAAAGAAAGGTTTTGCATCCTTTTTTGTTGCCTTTACATACGCATTTACGAATGTATGTTTATTTTATTTTTCCTTTTTATATTTTTTAATCATTTCACAGTTTGTTCGCGGATTTAAAGAATTCTTAATGCATTGGGTAGGTACCTTTTTTTTAAAGGTAAGCTTTAATTGTGAAATTTTTACGCATTAAGCCTGTGAGGTGTGATGGGCGTAATTTATTTATGTAAGTCATCGTACAGATACACACTATCATATACTTACATACATATGCTGATTGCAGGCGTTTTAATAATTTAAAATCATATGGGATATTTTGATTATGATGTTGTTCTATCTTGTAATTTTTCTCTTAGTAATTTCTTGTTTCAAAGAAGCTTTCAAATAAATTAATAGACTAAGTAAGTCCAGAAGGCAATGCGAGAGTAACATCTTAAAATCAACGTTGAACTGTAGTAATGGTAATAAAAACTATTTAGAATTACTACGTTTTGATGAAATTATTAGAGAAATCAAAACAGGTAAACATTATTTTTCTTGATTTCGCACTACTTTACCATACTATACACCCACTAAAGTTTAAACCGTTAGGATGTCAAAAATGGGTAGTTTATTTTTGTTGAAATATCACTGTGAATAGTTTTTAATAAAAGAATTAAAATTTTGAAATTGAAAGAGTTTTTTGAATTCTTCTAAAATTTTTTATGCCGTGAACGACTGTGTAATATGGTTTACTATTGAATGCATCTTTGTATGATATTTCTTATGATATTCTAAATGATAAAAAGGCCGTCATTGAGTTAACAAAGCTTAGTAAACTTACATAATAAAATATACATATGAGTAAGTTTTTGAACAAATATTTACATTAATTTATGGTTTAATGTAGGGTGCAGTGTGATTTTGCGGAATTCTTTTGTTTTTAGAAGCACCGTAACAAGAAGCTTTTACATTTAAAACATTGTAATATCAATATATTAAATTTTTTTTTTTCTTAATATTTTTTGAAGAATAATTTTTATAAGAGTCTGCATCTATTTGCTTATTTTATTCATGTCGGAACTGTGCAAAGTAATGCTAAGTCAGGGAAAATTATTAAAAATCAAGGTAAAGCAAAATATTATATTTGACTATATTGAAAAATCTAGTTAGAAAAGGGATTTTCAGCTTGTACTTAAGGTTCGCGTAATATAATACAGAGCATGTTAAACTCAATAGACTTTGACGTTTGCATGTTGGCATTGCATATTGTTAAGATTTTTATAATGCGACGTACTATTATTTGATAAGCCTTTGAGCTTCCTTAATACCTTTTGAGCTTTAAAACTTTTTAATTTCTATTAAGCACTTTTCCAAAAAAATTTTCGTCCGTGGATATGTTACAAAACTTCTGTACACTATACATACATATATGATAGACAGCTGAAATATTACATATGAATAGATTTTTACTAGAAACTTATTTACTAAGAAAATTTTTATGTATCACGCCTCCGCTAAAAGTTATAGCTTCTAAAAGTTTTAAAAATGTCATTTTTGGATTATTTATTGTAACGATACAACAAATATTTTTCAAATTCCGCAAACACAGAAAAGTAGTGTCTGGTTTTTTCTATCGCGGCATAGCATAGTTGAGCATGGAAATGACACAATGAAATTAATCGTTTTATAAAACTAAATTTTTAAAATTTTTACCGTTTTTCTACAAGACCATGTGTTATTGGGGGTCTGAAATTTTAGCGACCTTTAGATGTTAATAAATTGTATACACATTTCGCTGGAAGGAAATTTTCTTTCACCTTTATCCACTTTCACTTAAAATTCATAAAATTGAAATTTGAATTTGGCAATTTATATTTCTGAAACTTCAAGCTTTTCCAAATTTCTACAAATGCAGAAAGCTGACGGTAAATACCGTACCATCTTAAAATAATTATTTTGCAATTAACCCTTGAATTTAATTTTGGTTTTATCTCATCCTACACATATGCAATAAGTTGAAGTATTTTTAGTACATGAATCAAAGTACATAATTTAAATAATTTAGGTATTAGTAAATTGTTTTTAAGAGCAGTATTTTCACTTATTGAAGGCAATTGGGCTACTTTACAAACCAACTTGATTAGCTTCTACTTTTTATTTTAAACAAATAAAAGATAACCTTTACGAAAAAAAAGAATATAGTTAATTTAAAATAATTAAAAATAATATTTTATTTTAATACTACGAAATTTTTCTTAATATTTTAATTTTGTTACAATATTTTTACTAATAATAAAACTTAAATTTTAGGAAGAAAGGAAAAAAGGAAACCTTTAAAAAATAAAGAATAAACTTTTGCTTTAATTCTTACTAACAAAAGAAATTTTTTTAATAACAAATAACGTCCTTAAATTAAGTTTAACAACTTTTTTTTTATTTTTATTGTTTAATTTCAAATTAATTTTAAAGTTTTTTTTTTAGTTTAATTAAATTTTTTTTCATGTACATAAATTTAAAATCATATTTTTGCCTCTTTTATTAAATTGTACACCATTAGATATTTTATACGTTAGAAATTATTTATAATATGATGCAATGATGTAGCCAGCTAATAAGAATTTTAAAACTTTTAAATAGTAAGATTTTTAATATGATAATTGATTTTTTTTAAATATAATTGATAAATATTACAGAAATAAATTTAAAATCATAATCAAAATTTCTGTTAATTAACAAATGTTTAAATATTTAATGTAAAATTCTTATAGTTATAAATAATTAAGAATTTTACAATAAATAATTTAAAGAAAATTATTAAACAATTTTGAAATTATTGTAAATATAAGGAAAAAAATTTAAAAATAGTAGTACATTTTTTTGCATTGTTAATTTGATAATTTATTTATGTAAATTAGCACACAATTTTTTTAAAAAATATATTTTAATTGATTCTTCTACATTTTTTTTAAAGAATGTATCCAATATAAGTCAATATTATATTACATTAGAAATATTATAAAATATTTATATTATTTATTAGAAATATATAATATATTTATAATATATTTAATTGATATATTTTATTAGAAATTTGATTTATTTTTTCTTCTAAATTGAATTTACTGAGTTTAATAATTCCAATTCCAAAATTGAATAGAATAATTAAATATTTACACATAATTAAAAAAAAAACAACGTCAATTAAAACAAAAATGGTATAGAATTGTGTTAATTTCATATTGAATACTTATATTTATACCAGAGAGATTCTTTTCTATATACGGATTTTAAACATCCATATTCTCTCAGATTCATCACCCGAAGTGATCGAATCTTATTCAAAATTATTGAGATTTTCAGTTTAAAATTTCAAATTTAGAAATTGATTTTATTCTGAAAATAAAAAAAAAAATTTGTGAAAATACTGAATTATTCCACAAATGAGGTATTTAACCACAATATGGGAACACATATTTTGAATTTAAATTTTGAAAAATTTTAAATAAGCGATTATATTAATTTTGGAAAAATTCTAATTGAACGAAATTAAATTGATATAATCTTATGTACTTAATTATATTATGTACATGTGAGAATAAATGAAATAATAAAATAAGAATTCAATATTCTGAAATGTTAAACAATATTTTTCTATTAAATTTATAAAGGTGAAGAAATATTGAATTTCAATTCAAATGTATTCAATTAATGTAGTTGTTTTCGAAAATAATACTTCAATAATAACATATTACACAGTATACTTATTAAGTATTGATTGTAATAAATATAAATGTATAAATAATGATTATGTACTTTTATTTTATAAAAAATAAGCATTAATTAAATTTTAATAAAATTAATTTACATTATTGTATTAGTAAATTTTATTTAATTATTCTAAATAATTTCAAAATTCAAGTTTTTATTTTCATATCGATTTTTTCATAGTATAATACAAGAAAATTAATTAATTAAATTTTAAAAAATAAAAATAAAAAATATTGTGTGCTAGCTATAAATAATTACAATATTCAATATTACAAGAATACATAAAGAAAATTCTATATACATATATGTATGTATGTAGATATAAGATGGAAAATGTTAAATAAATTAGTAAAATTTTAAAATGATTAATTAGAAATTTAATTGATAAATTTCTTTTATATTTTAATTACAACAACATAAACATTTGAGTTTTTTTAGTTTTCTCTTTTTTTGTTTCGATAGAATTCAATATAATTTTTATAATTTTCAATTTTAATTTTTTATTTTTTTTTTGTATATATATATTGTTTTTTTTTGTTTTGAATAAGTATTTTTTTTTAAATTTTTTTTATACACAAAATATATAATTTTTATTTTTATTTGCTATCGTTTTGATGCATTTTAATCTCTACTTGTTTTCTCTACATTTCTATTATTATTTTTGTAATTTATTTTAATTATTTTCTTTACATTTATTCTTTTTAATTTATTATCATAATATATACGTTATTTTTGTATATATACTTTAAGATATATTGAGAGGTGATGGTTAACATTTTATTACAGTTGAAAATATAGTGTCTTTCTTATATAATATATTCCCATTTATACATACTGTAAATGTAAATTTTAATATAGAAATTAAATAATGAGGTAAATGAATATTTAATTACATTTTGTTAGTTTAATCCGTTTTAAAACAGGAGATTTTGTCAAAAATAAAAAAAAAATCTTTTTTAATTGCGATTTTTATTACTGTACTCCAATAAATCATTGATGTCTTAATTTCTAACAATTTTTATTGACCTGTACATAATTTACAATTTAAAAATTATTTATTTTTTAGACCACAATTATAAGTAATGCAACAGGATTGTATCCCTTTGAGTCATTCTTGTGAGTTAACAAGTTTTGTTTATTATACATTTTGGTATTAAACTTAAAAAATAAATTTAAAAGCAAAACTGAATTTAATGTTTTAATTATTTTTTATTTTAAATTAACATTGAAACCTTGTTATCTTTGAATTTTAATTAATTTTTGAGTAGCTAGATACAATCAAATAAATCTATTGCAGATTTTTTAACATTAAGACATGCTTTTCGCCACAATGAAAAAAAATTTTATTATATTTACATTATGTATATATAGGGTATATATTTTATTTAAATATTAATAAAACTTTTTTATTTCTCGAAGTGAAATTTTTTTCTCTTAATCCTTTGTAAATTAATGTGCATGTAAGCATTATAAAATATACATTTATTTGAAATTAAGTATGTATTATTTAAATACATACACATTTTATATAATATATATAGGTATTTTTAATATACATTTTATACATTTAAATAATTTTATTAATAAATATTAAATTCATTATTGTTTAATTTTTTTTTGTTTGAAGTTACATGTATATTCTTAAATTACAATAATAATTAATTAGTAAATACATATATATTTATATATATAGATAAAAATAAAATTAAGCAGTCCTGAAATGTGTATGTGTTTGTGTGTGTGTGAATTACATAATTGCTGTTTTCTATTTTTCTTCTTTTAATATACATTATTTTATTACATAATTTTATTATAAACATCTTAATTTGTTAATATATTGTTGGTTAGGCTATCTTCTTTATCATCGTAATCTTCGCCAATTTCATGCAAGAACCAAAATGCAACTGCTAATAAACTGGATCCAAATAGATCACCTAATGCTGTTAAATATGGTATCGATGAATTGTCTGGATCAATTTTCCATTTCCACATTGAATGTGTAATAATATGAGCGATATACAATAGTAGCATAATCTAAAAATAAAAGTAAAATTTAGTGTTTAAATTTATGGCGCATTAAATAGAAAAAAAAAAAATTTAATTAATTGAGAAATTTTTACTTTCAATTGTTGAAAGTTTTATCAAGATTAATTAAAATTGTACTCGTATATGAGTTTTGAATAACAAAAACTTGAGTTATTAAAATAGCTTAAATTTTTTTTCAAAAAATAAACTACAAAATTAAATTTTTTATCAATTTAATGATTCGGAAAATTATTAAAATCAACGCAATTTAAGTTTCCTAAATAAAGAAGAAATTATTAAATAAAAATTTTAGAATTTTTGTGTGAAAGAAATTTAATTAGTCAAATGTTTTGATGAACAACGATCAAAACAAGCCAATTTTCACAGTATCTTTGAGATACATTTATGGGACTTGTTGGAAGCTTTAAGACCATTCGAAAAGTTTTTTAAGCTGATTTGTGTGTATAAAATGCCATAATCTTTAAAGAACGTTAATAAAACCATCAGCATATTTTCAAGCAGTCAGTGGGAAATTTAGGTTTTTGTCATATATTACATTCGTTTCAATTTGGTAAACAAGTATTGGTAGGCACTGATAGAACTTGGTAGGAAAAATAAAGTCATTATATTGTTGACTATTCTACGCATTGTGGCATCTATTAGAAAATTAATATCCTTACAAAGATTGAGGCGGTTTATTAGGCTTGCGTAATGTAATAAGACATGTAAACATGAAAAATGAAAATATGTAATAAGACCACAGCAGGAGTATTAGAATGGTGAGCTAGTGATGAGATAGGCAAGACTTTAATTTTTATTTTATCCCGAGGAAAAATTTCCTATTTTTCGTAGGTTAATTTTTACACTTTGAGCAACATTTATATAAACAATTTGAGGCTGACAGAGAACTTTTTGTGCAGATTTTGCCATGAGATATTTTTAACAGTTAACTGAAAATTTTAATTGATATACTCGTACATTTTATTATATATGTAATGGTTAAAAGAAGAATCAAATCCAATATATTAAAGGCATTTATAATTATAAAACTGTTGAGTGGTCAGTTCTCAAAATGAAAATCTTATAGAATTCGATATAAACAATGATATTTCCATATATACAAGAGCATTGAAATTATCAAATTTAAATGGGCCTATATCGATAAAGTTTTCTTTAAAATGATTTGCTTATGAAAATAAACCGTAAATAGAAAAACGGAAAACTTAAAAACATGTTTTATCCGAAAATCTTATCCAGAAGTATAAAGTGGATATAATTGAAATTACTAAAAAAAACTATGAAATATTACACTTAATTCTTTGAAATTATTTGGAAGTAGATATGCATAGGTGTACTTTTGTTATTTTATTAAAAATTTTAATTTTTAGTTAATTTAGCGTTATCTTTTGCTATTGATTATAAATTATTATAATATTGTTTTTTTTTTAATTGGAATTAATATTGTAATTTTTTATTAATTAATAAAATTATTAATAAATTTCCACATTTTATAATTGTTTTTAAGCTGAACACTTCAATTCAGCAATTGTCTGTATTGATACTATTAACATTAATTTCGTATTATATTGTCGAACTTTGATTAATAGCAGATATAATGCATAGTGTTATGTATGTATGCACGTTTATATTGTTCAATAAAACATGAAATTATTTCAAAATTAGTCATTTGGTTAATCCTTACATGAACTTGAAAATAATATTCATTGTGTATTTGTGATTAATCATTTTAACGGGAAAGTGGTCACATACAGATGTAAATAAAAAAAAAAATGTGATAATGTGTATTTTGTTCGATTGTTTAAAATGATCTTAATATACATAGTTATATAAGTACGAGTATGTACATATGTAAATAAGCTTTTTAAGCCGGTATGTATTTATTTTTGGTATTTATGAGCTGAATTTTATTTAAATGTACACTCAATTCATAAGTTATAAGATAGACGTTTGTACATGTTGTACATATTTACTGTTATTTATTTTCTGTTCTTGTCATTTAAAGCAATTTTTCCTTGAACAAGCGAAAATACTACTGTTAAAAACATGTGACATTATTTAAATTACTCTTGCTCATGTACCACAATAATTTCAGCTTTTTATCATAAAAGGAGTAGAATTTTTGTAAACAGACACGAGGACAGAGGAACGGACGGCTGAACGAATGGCCGGGCAGACTGAAACTAATAAAAACTTTCCTTCAAATTTTTTTGGAAAAGTGTTAAAAAGGATCAACTTTACATTATATAAAATCAGTTGTCAAAAGGCTCAAAAAATCTCTTAAAAATGGATAAGAAGTTTTTTTTAATTTCATTTAATGTAAGGACGGTGTAACTAAATTGAATTTTACATTGAGAGCAACAACTACTATTTTTTTATTATATTAAGGAGAAATTTCCATCTTATTCATCATAATAGCACATAATTTAGTGCGTCTTAACAAATCATAAATTTTTGCTTAAAACCAAGAGTGGCTCAAAAAGAAAATGGTTTGCGTCTTAACTTAATATTAACTTTTGATAGTCTTATCAAAAGTTTAAATTTAAGGAAATTTTTTTAATCACACGTTGAAATTAAGCTCTCCAAAAAAATTTGATTAAGTCAATTTCATTCTATGTTCGGAATCAATGAATTCAGTTGTAATAAAATAATTTAAAAATTATTAAAAAATTATTTATTGCCCGTAATACTAAATTACGATAACAAATTACAGAATTGCTTAGGTTTTTTTTATTAAAAACAAAACAGTTAATTACAAAAACGTGCAATTTTATTATATAGGAAGAATTTTTACTATTTTTGTCTAATCTTTTGTCAACACTATTACAATAATCCGTAAATTTTTACAAATATTTTTATTACATTCCAATAATAATTAATATTTTATATTAAACTAACCTATATACATATGTATGTATATATTAAAAAATATTTTATATAGACACAGTAACAAATTAAAATTTCAATGGAAATTTTTAATAAAATTATTAATTTTAAATTAAAAATTAATTTTCTTATCTTAATGGTATGTGTCTATGTGTATAAAGGCAAACAAAATTATTTTAATTAAATTAAATATTTTTGAAAAGAAAGGTGAGCCTAAATGATCTTAAATTTTGATTAAAGTAATTTTAATTTTAATCAGATTGATTTTTTAAATTCTTATGAAAAAATTAAATTATTGAAAATAAATCTTTTATGGTAATCAAAATATTGAGGCATGTGAACTTTGTTCGAAACAAGGTTAAAGTGTCTGTTTTTCTTACTCATTTTGAAAAAAAAAAGGTTTCCATTGATTTTGTTCTCCAGATAAAAAAAAAAATTTATTATCAAATTTCCAATTAAAATGATATCTTATTTACGTGTTTATTAACCACTGATAAGATTTTCTTATTTTTCTATTGCCATGTTTTATAGTAGGTTTTAACGCATGTTTATAGGAATTTTGAGATTTGATAATAGTAAAAACAAAAGAATTAATTGTAATCTATTTAATTAAAGTAAATCGTTATCAATTATGTATAAAGAAATTTGTAGTTAAGGGGAAGAAAGAATATGCAAGTGAAATTAATTGAATATAGTGAATTTCTAAATATTTTCTTTCAGACCTTTGTCAACTATCAAAAATATTTATTCTTGACAAATTGATCTAATTTTTCCTTTTTTCCCTACCGGCCATTGAAGTTTTCTGCTCTTATACTCAACATACTTGCAAAATTTATAGAGCTAAACGTTATTAAGAGCTCGATAGCTGAAGGTTCCCGAGAAACACCAAAATTTTTTTAATGCAAATTTTTTGAACGGAAAAACCCATTTGCTTATAAAAGAATTTTTATTTTATCTTGAACCGCTTGGGAACAAACGGTTCGAAGTGCGGACCCAACATTCGTTCAACAGTTTAGCAGTTATGTTAGATAACTTTTTCATTTCAGCAGAACATTTAAGTTAGTTTTTAATTCATTTATGTTATAAACTCAAAACATAAACATATAATTACGAAAATATTCTTAAATATTGGCATAAAAATTATAATTAATAAAAAATAAAATAAAATCTTACTTGTATTAAACTCATTGATAGATATGATAATATAAATGGATATTGAACTGTTGATTCGCCTTGATGAATCCAATCAGCAGCAAATATGAATACAACTTGACCCGGAATTGACATAAGTATTAAAATTCTAGCAGTTTTTGCATAAGGTACTAGAAAATATTTAAATATAATTTTAATTCTTCATTTGTATAAGTTTATAATGAGAAATGAAATATCAAAATTTGTTTTAATTATATATGTACCTCCTTTGAATAAAGCTCTCCACGGATATTCAAATATTTTAGTATATGGTGGTATAATACCAATAATTGAACTTTGATGTAACATCGTTGATATTCTACTAGCCTGTACTGATACTAAATTACCGCCAATACCATTAATAATTGGCTGAAATACAACATAACCTTTGTATACACGAACAACAGCATCCAAAACAAGACCACCCAAACTAAAAGTTTTTTAATAAATTTAAAGAAATTATTGTTATTTTATTTGTTTAAAATAAATAATAGAATATTGTATATATTATAACTTTGCGTAGACTTACCCGCTAATTAATAATGCCGACAATACTGGCGTCCAACCTGTTGTTAAAACTGGTCGTGTGTACTTATTACGAAATACTATTATTGTCCATATTGGTAATAAACAAAAATACACTCCAATAACAACATAACAAATCCACAAATGTGTATCTAAATAAAATAAATAAAAATTTAATATAAAATTCCAAAAATTTTAATCGGAAAATAATTTTAACTTACTTATATGCATATATAGTCGAGATGCTATAAAAGAAAGTAAACTAATTGAAACGACATCACCGATTGAAGCAGCCAATGGAGTTGCCAAATTATCGGGATTCAAGCGATATCTTTTCGATATTATTATCACAGCCACTAATACAAAATCTTTAAATAGAAAACAAATTGAGAATAAATATAAATTATAGGTACACTCACTGTTTTATAAAAAAATTAATTTGAATTTTGTATATTGGTACCTAAAACAAAACAGGACGATGTTGCTGTAAACATTGCTGAAGCCATCATTAATACCACATGATCAAATTCAAATTTATTATGTAATGCAGCACCAACACATACAGCAAATATTGATACAATAAATGATGCCACTATTGCCTGCACTTGAACTAATGATATATTACCAACAATCATATGAAATACTTCTTTTTTTGAAGACATTAAACCTAAATTTGCTTGAGTTGATAAACGTGATGCTAAACACATATCTAAATTTCCTTTTAAACCAAGTAATGAGGGCACTAATATAAATAATTCAGAAACATGCTCAAATACCTCCCAACTCTGCAATAGAAATATAAAATAATTTAATACAAATAATATTTTATTAAAATATGTTGATATTTAAAGACTTGATCACAAACTCATATTTTATTACTTATATGAAAACTCTGTTTGTGTACCGTGTTTTGTAATTAATTAAAATTTGTCTACTTAATTGCTCTGAACAATTAAATAAATTTCATTGTTTATCACATTAAAAATAATTTGCAGAACTGATTCAATGTTTACAAAAGTTTAATACGGAAATATTTTGGTGATAAAATCATAGAGCCTTAAATTTTTTGTTAAGCTTATATTGAAGCAGAAATATTAAAAAAGATGCAAATGTGTAAATTTGAAACAACAGGTAGGTTCAGTGCATTGTTAAATTATTGAATTATAAATTATTGAATGCATATATGAATTTATAGCTCACTAATGTTTTTAATTGTTAAAAAATTAAATTGAAATTTTTCGCGTAAAAATATATTTTAGTTATTCTTAGCGATATTCTAGCATATTTTAAAAAAAATTGAACGAAGAATATTTGATTAAGTGATTTTTTTTTAATTTCATTATTTATTTATATAAATTTTTAGCAAATTGGGTCAATTGATTGTTGTATTTTGATAGAAAATATCAAACCACTTGCATTTGTTATCTTTTAATGTGACAGGCATACATTTTGTGTATTTTATGTTATTTTTACAATTTTTATTATATAATTTTTATTTTTATAATTGATAACATGAAAATGAAAATAAACAATGAAAATCTCCTCATAAAATTGTATAACAGATCAACTGTATAGCCAAAGAACCGACTAAAGGCAGAAAAATAAAAAAATTTTTCTCCTCGAATTGAAATTCCTACCAGCGGCCTACCGCCTTCTATGCGGACGCTCTACCAACTGAGCTACAGAGCCCAATTTTGAGCAAAACTGATTTTTTCCATTCTTTAGACTTTACTATGTATTATTTTTGCTGCTGATTAAAATATAGGCTCTGTCACAGTTAAAATTATCCAATAATTAATTCTGCTTATGCTAAAACAAAAGTCTTAGTTAAAAATCTAACATATTGTCTTCGGTTACACAAAGCAGGTTACATATTTTGTTATTAAAAATACTTCTAAATAAAACGTATATTTTGTAATAATGACGAAATAACATTTAAAAATTCTAAGACGATTTTCTGCGACTTTAAAAATTCTAATTTAGGAATTTAATTAACATGAACTTAAATTGAACTCTATTTGGAAATATTACGATAATTTCAAAAGGTTACTTAAATTGTGCAATGGTTTTTTTTATTATATAAAAATTGTAAAATTCAACTTACATCTACTCTTCCTAATATAATACCAGCACCAATTGTACCAATACCAGCTAAAAAGAATGGTACAGCTACTTGTAATGTTGTATGCCACCATTCTTCATGCGCAATACCAGGTCTATTTAATGCTATTTTTTCATCATTACTATCATCACCTCCACTTCCACCCCCAGTCCCCCTCAAACCAGCCTTATCTGATCCTGGATCAGGCTCTGATGATGCTATGGACGTCGTAATGATTGAGCTTAATGAACCAGTTGTTGATTGTGGTAAACCTGACAGTTTGTCATTGTCAATGTCTGTAATGGTATTAAATTAAATTTTTTTTTTAATTTTAATTATCATAAAAAGAAAAAGAAATTCACTGAAACAAAATTAATTTGTAAATTTTTTTATTTTATTTAGTTTTAATATGATTATCAAATTAACTGTTGTTACATAAATACCCACCACATTTTTTTTATAATATTAATTAAATAAAAATAATATTAAAAATATAAAATTACGGCAAAAGTCACTTAAAACAAAGGGTTATTCTTATAATCATGCTTTTTTCTTTTATTATTTTTTTTATCTTAAAGTAAGTGAAAAACATGCAATTGGGGATTACAAAAATTAATTATAGTGAATAAGTTTAGTTTCGGGGACAATTTCTTAAAGTTTTTTAAAAAACAAAATTAAAATTATTTTAAAAATTATAATTAAAAAACAATAATTAAAATAAAAATATTAAGGAATAGTAAAAGAAAAGCAAGAGTTTATATATAAAAATTTTTAAAATAATTTTTAAGCTTTTACTTGACTTTTTATTCACATTTTCTTATTAATGTACGAGTGTAGTTGCAATTATTGCGTCTAAACAAGTAAACTATAAGTTCAACAAGATCCTATTACATTCAGAAATTTCTGTAAATCTAGACTAGTCTTCTTCTTCTTTATGTTTTTTTCTTTAGGTCCTTTTTATTTATTTTTGTATATTATAAATTAAATTTTAAAGTGAGGCGAATATAATTTATGCATCCTAAAACGAACTGAAAAGTTCAAAATTCAATGAATAATTGACAAAAATATTTGCGATTTCCAAAAAGGCGAGAAACTACAATTAGCTACAAATTTATTTTGTTAGAAAGAGGAACGAAAAACAAGATGTTAAAACGAAGTATCAAGAATAAGACCAGTCTGGAGATAAGAATTCACTACAGCTGCAAAATACGGAGCACTATTACTTCGAAAAATGAAACTATTTGAAAATTAAATATTGAAACTATTACTTCAAATACGTTTGTATTGTTAGATCACTTTCCCGTAACTTCAGTTTTTCGAAGAAACAGTGAATTGTCATTATTATTTAATTATGTATTTTTATTTTCTTAAAACCTTCAGTAAATAAAAATATTAGTAGCAAAGAGTACAATATTATTCCTGAAAAAAACAAGTGACAAAACAATTTTATTTTAAGCACAAGCGGTTTAAGCATTGCTATTAGGTACTCTACATTGTATAGGCTTATTGAAGTTTCTTTGCTATCTAATATTGCAGTTTTTTTTTTGTAATATGAATTATAACACATTATATACATACATAAAGCTTTATTGTTCAAACAAAAATATATTTGTATATTTTATTTCAAAAATAAATTATTAGTGAGTTTATTCTGGTGTTCACGAAAGTTTTTTCAAAAAAATTAAAAATGATGGAAAAAAATTCAAGACTTCTACTTAAAAGGTTCCAATAATTTGTAATACTTGATGTGCAAAATTAATATTGTGGTTGCTTACCTATTGTGATTATTATAAAACAACAAAAAGATTTCGGGGGATTTGAAAAATTAAAAAAAAATCGTGTCTATTTCATCTACTTTTTGAATAAACAAACTAAATTTTCACATGATATTAAATCTAACAAATTTTATTTGTAACTTATTTATTTTATAGGTACTTAATTATTTAGAATTAAATAGTTCTCTATAGTATAGGAATACTATAGATCATAAAATCATACATATGTATATGTCAATATTCGCTTAATTTTGCCATAATGTCATAGACGCAATCAATAGCAAACAGTAAAACCATTTTTCACAGTTGATATTGTATAAAGCATTTTTTTGTCACTTGTGATTTAACTTTTAAAAAAATTTAAAATAAAACCAAAATTTATCGCCGATTGCGTTAGCAACGTGTAATAGGATTAATGGTGCCTTGAAAATTCATTATTAATGACAATTAAAAGAATTTGACATACTGAGAAATGAACTCAGTATACGATAACTGCTTAGAAGCTAAATGTAAAATATAAATTGCAGTACTGTATAATTACCACTAAACACTATATAATTACTAAAATGCACTACATTTGCCGAACTTTAAATTAAAAATAAATTTCAATTTTTGTTTACAATTTAATAATCCAAATGGTACTTGTAGCGGAACCTTTTAATTTACAATTTATTAAATTATGTCTAAAATTTTTTAAAATCGAAATTAATATTTTTAATTATTTTTTTACTAATAAGAAAAATTTGTCTTATTTGTCATGAATTAATTTTTAAAATACTTTTAAGTAAATGTACAAGTTCAATTTAAATGTTATTGAGAAATTGAACAATAATTAAGTAGTTATACAACACATCACAATAGTTGAAGCACAACTGTTTTGACAAGAGCCTAAAAATATTAATTTATAATTTTTAAATTACATAATTATTTTTAATAGTTTTTTGTAATAGAACAAAAAATTTAGCATGTATTTCAAGTTATCATTTGAAATAATTATTTTTTTTTATTTAGCAATTTTATACTTTCACACATTGTTAGAATGTACATGAATTAAAATTAAATTATTTTCAAAACAAAATTTCAAATAATTAATTGTCTATTTTCAGAATGACAATTATTATACAATTTGTTCAGTTTTTGCTCTTTGACAAAATTTAAAAATATTGGATAATGTTTTTGGGTAATTGTAGATTTTCTGTTTTTGGTATGGTTTTTAAATTTAAGTTTATGTTATTAATAAACTTAAATTTAAAAACCATACTGTTAATAAGATGTGACCGGGTGTAACTAATTACGTAAATGATTGCTTTTAAAACACGGTTACCGAAATAAATTAAATTTTTATTTTATTATAAAAAGTATATTACAGTTTTTTATTAGGTACATTTTCAGTAAATTATTTAAAAAATATCCAACATGATTTTATTTTTAAATATGTGTTAACAAATGTGAAACCCTTGCACAAAAATGTTCCCGAAAAAAACATTTAATATTCAATTTTCAATAAATTGATTATTAAGATGATATGATCTCTAATCTGAGCAATGATGCATTGCTTATGGCATCGTTTTTTTAACTGAAGAGTCTCAGGTTCAATCCCTGGTTAAGGTACTTTTAAAATTATACTTAATATAGCTCAACGTACAATATTATAAAATAAAAAATTAGTGTCAAAATTACTTTCCATAAATTTATAACATTCTTTTAAACAAAAACCTTTAACATTTAATACGAGTATAAGGGAAAAAAACTACGGTCGATTGGTCACCACGTAGTTATTTCATTGCTTTGTGAAACTGAAGCTTGATTCTAAAACTAATGACACTAAGAACCGCAAGTTCGCCAATTCCTACATGTGTTTACAAAGCTTGTACATCGTTTAAGATACTCGTATAAAGTTGACATCAAAGTCCTTTTCTAAAAATGTCAGATTTTTTGACAATTTCCGACAAATTCCAAGCTTTTGTAATTAATCTTTTTCAAATTTCCATTCGATCCATGGCGTTACTTATTTAATAAATAAAAAAACATTATATACTATTTTAAATTGCGCAGTTATTAGCCGGATTGGATCATTACCTTAGCGGTTTTTTATATGTGCTCATCCTAAAATCAGGCAATAATTATTTATGGCAATTTGGCTAAATTTTGGTATATTATGTAATCACAATAATTTATGTGTGTGTGTACAAAAGATTGTTTTTTTTTTTAAAAAAGTGTTCATTTGTTTAAGTGCAACACGCTTCTTTACCAATAATGATTTAATCCGAAATTTCTTTACATTGTAATTACTTAATAGGTGTAGATTTCGTTCTCAAAATTAAAAACACGTACATCATATTAATTTAGAACCATTAAATAAAAGTTTTTAAGTCCTCATATCTTTTTAAACCTCCTTAAAAAATTTGTACAATATGTGTAAACAGTAAATTCTGTAAATTATGAATTATTTAAAGTAATAATTGATAGATTAATTAAAATTATGGGAAACAACATGAGGGATGAAGGGGATATGCATCAAGACGATTCAATGGTTTCTTACGAAAAAAAAAATTATAATATTCTCATTTATTCATAAGAGGAAGAACGGACAAACAAAGTACAGTAAAATTAATAGAATAAAAAATAGTTTACAAATAAATAAATTATTTTGAGTATTGTAAAAATTAATTATGTAAAATTAATAAAAAAGAAAAAGATTCATGTGCTCTTTAGAATTTAAATAAAGGTGCAATTTTATATAAAAATCTTAAAGTAGTAAAATGTTGTTTGTACCAGTATTGTATATATGTGTATTTGTGTGGATATTTCATTACTGTGTGTATGGGCATGGGTGTAAATTTTATTAAATAAAATATCGAAATTTTTATGCTTTAACAACATAAGTAATGTAAGTAAAGAGTCGTCTATACATTATGTAGGTGTACATACTTCAGTACGCAATGCAAAATTATTTACATAATTACATAATATGTACAAAACAATAAACATTGCATTTTGTCGAAGAAATTATTAAAAAGCAAATTTTTTTATACAATCCAAAATAAATTATTTAAAATTAATAACATTATGTAAATTTATTTTTGAATTTTCAAAAGTATTTTGTTATTTTCTTTTACTGATTTTTGGTATAACAATATAAACGTCAGCATAATTTATATTTGAATAGAATTCTTTTAACGTGTTTTGCTACCCATTTTGTCACTGGTTATAGTCATTCCTTGCATGAAAAGGCAAAATTAGCTTCTTAATCTGTCTAAAAACGCAAATTTTTTGGTCTTTTTTCTATTACTTGAATATTTAATTTACAAGTTAATATTTATTTATCGAATTAAATAATTAAGTTAGTTTAAAAACCATTTGAAATTTAAAAGAGTTTTGGTACTACGTTTGCGTTCTAATTTACCCGAAAAGTGTATTTCTAAAAAGTTTCAAATGTTATGTAGCATAGCATATATGTAGCTCGGAACGTAAATGTGAAATTTCTGAATAAATTTATTAGAAATTTCACTTTTACGTTTAATAAATTTATTATTAAATTGAATAGGAGTGTTAAACACCCTTAAAAAGAACAAAATTAATGTAAGCATGCATTATTTATGTACAATATATGTGAATGTATGTAAGTTTATAAGTTTTTTAAATGTATTTTTAAATAATATTTACAATCTAGTTTTATAGTGTGTTTCTATCAAAATATAAAAGCCTTATATTGTAGTATAACAGTTTTGTGTAATAAAGTGTGATGCTTAGTGTAATTATGGTTTTATATAATATAATTTGTTTTTCCAATTAAATTCAAGTAAAAAAAATAATAATATTAAAAAGTTTAAAAATATGACTATTATCAGTGTTACTAGTTTAACACAATTACAATCATCTATATGTAACTCTTTTTACTTTTGATATTTTCGACATAGAAGTATAAACCCTTACAATTGATTCAGAAATGATAATTGAGTTTGACAAAATCTTGAATTTATAAACAAATTTTAAAATATATATACTTATGAGCAGTTTCAAGTCTTATGTAATCATATATTGATTGTGTTTGAAGCAGATTACATAAAGTAGTTAATCTTAGTTATTTCGAAGATCCTCAAATATTTCGTTTGTAATAAATGTTTTATTCGAAATCGAAGATTCCAAAAAATTTGGCGTGTTTAACTGCGTTTGGCTGTAGCCAAATTTACATAAGTTTGCCTAAACAAGATGTTGAAAAAAAGTATTAATCAATATTTGATTTTAATTAACAGATGTTTAGTTTTAAAAGTTTGACTTTTGAATAATTGAAAGCTAGGCAGAAATTTTTCAAAAATACATGTTTTTATATGGTTATTTATAAATGTTAGTAGATATTTAAAAGTTAAAAGTCAAAACTTAAAGAGAATTACAATTGAAAAAGAAACAAGGAAACCTCGTACACTGTCGAGGCATATGGAACTCCTTTCACTTTCAATGATGAGTAAAGAGAATTTTATTACATAATTCACAATCTTGCTTTAAAATATTTATTTCTTCCTTTTTTCCCTAAATTCCAGTTTCTTGAGCCGGATAGAATATAAATTTCGGCATAAATTTTTGGTTTTTTCCGAAAATCTTTAATTTAGATTGAAGCAGTAGCCGACTTATACTGAAGCAGTAAAATCAATTCTAATAACACTGAATAATTTTATTATAACAAATTAAATATCTGAATAATAAAGATAATAATAAATAAAAAAAGAAAAAAAAAGAGTATTTTTGATTTAAAATAAAAATATAACATTATTTTTGTATGTACTAATATAAAAAATAATAAATAAAATATAAAAAGTTCAGAATTGATAAAAATTTTATACTTAAAAAAAAGAGAGAAAAAAAAAAGAAAAGTGTAAAAGTTGTATATAGTGATTAATAGAAAGAGAGAGAACAAATTAAACTCACCATTTCCATATATTGTAAATAATTTATATTTATCATCTGTTGGTGTATAATATCCCGGTATTCCATTATTACTGCTGTTTTTGAAATTTTTATCACCCGTTATTATTGTTGGAATTTCGCTACTGTTATTATCATAATTATTTTTAAATATATTATTATTTCTTTCGGTACTACCTCCGCCACCGCCACCACCGTCAATTTCCCCACCACTTCTACCACTTTCCCCACCATTCTTACTACCGTCTTTACTACCGTTTGGAATTAGAGGCATTTTTTATTTTATTTAATTTTTATTTTATAATTTTAACGAAATTTCAAAAAAACGAAAAAGTTTTTTTTTCAGTAATAATTTAAAAAAAAAAAATGTACAAATTTAATTTTTAATCTCTTTTTTAATTAGAGTATAATAATATCATAAAATTGTTATATAAAATAAAGTGCGCGTTTAATTATTTACAAAAATAAGTTTGTAAATTATCAGATTGAAAAAAAATAAATGTATAATGTACGTTTATTTATTTATTTGTATTATTAGTGTGGATTTAAAGAACAATCAAAATGTCGTTTAATCCTATCAATTGAAATATGTAAATAATATATATATATATATATATATATATATATATACTGCTATATAATATATTTTTTGGAATATCTTAAAGCCTTTTTACATTTAATTTAATTATAATTGAAAATTAATAAATAAATGTATACTAATTATGAATATTTATTGTATTTTAATATTGAATATTTGGAATACTGTTGGTTCTATGTATATATTTATATATACATGTATTTTTTATGTACATATAATTTTATTTAATTTAATTATTATTTTATTTAAATAATAACAATAATTAAAATTAATTCTTATAAATTTTTTTTATATTTTTAATTATTATATGTACATAAATGTTTTATTTCTAATTTTTGTTTTTGTATATATATGCACTTAAATTAATATTAAATACAAATTTTTGGTACTTGTTTTATTTTTTTATTGGAATTGAATTTAATTTATTTACAATGAATATTTTTTTTGTGTTATATTGTCAAAATTAATTATATAAATATATATACATATGTATAATGTGTTGATTATTCACACATTAATTTATTATAACTATAATTAAATTAATAAGATATATATATATATATATGCTTCTATATATTTTTATTAATAAAAAAATTGATAATGATTTATCGAACATAGAAAGAAAAAAATAAATATTTAAAATAATCTGTTATATACACAATATATAAATATATTTACGAATGTATATAATATTAAAGTATCTTGCCGAAGTAAAAAAAATGTAAAAAATTACTTTTATATAACGTTTTTATTATTATACTATTACTGTTATACAATACGATAATTAAACGATAATTTAATTTTTATAGTTTTTATAAAAAAAAAAACTAAATACCGAGTATTTGTACGAAAATTTATATAACGTAAATTTAACGTTACCGTAAATTACTTTTCAATTAAAAAAATAAAAAAAAAAATATTTCAATATTTTTATTTATATGTAAATATAATTGCCGTTGCATGGGCTGTTTATCTTTTTAAGTTTAATAACGGGGCGTTCCGCTCTTATTGTTGATATCCCGTAATTTTTGTACAATTAAATTACGTATGTATTTATGCGCTGTTATGCACTAATTGTGTGTGTATAGAAGTAAAATTGGATTTTTTTTATCCCTATATAAAAAGCTTTAAATGTTTTATATTGTTTTTCTTTTGTTTTTGATATTTTTTTGGGAAGGATTTATATATATAGAGTGACTTTCAAGCGAGTAGTTCACATCTTTGCTTTGTTGATTAAACGAAAAATTTGGCGATCCCTTGTTAATTTCTTTTGTTTTTTTATACTTTTTTTCTTTTGAAAATATAGATATAAAGCTCTTTTATACCTCTATATTATATATATAAACATAAATATATAATTTAATAAAGATATTTTTGCTTTGCATGTACAAAAATCTGTCATAAAATTTGCAATATAACAGATTTATAAATTCTTTTTGTATTTTTACTTATATTAATTTTATCTATTTGTGATTCAGTCACCCGACCGTTGATATGGCTGCAAACGAAAAAAAAATTATTTTCCTTTTTTATTTTATTTCAGTTTAAAAAAAAAAAAAACAAATTTTAGTTGGAACAAAAAAAAAAATTCATTTTTTTTAATTCATTTTGCACAATTTTATTTTTTCAATTTTTCGATTTTAATTTTTACAAGAACAAAATATTTTCAGTATCTAATTAACCCTAAAAGGGTTGATACATTTTTGTTATGTAATATTTTTTTAAACATTAAAAGTTTTGTATGGTTTTATAAATTTTTATATGACAATTTCTTAAAAATATTTGCGATAATATAAAATAAATTTAAATTTTTCACATGTTATTCAGACTTATTTGAAATATTGCCAGTACCTAAATAATTAAAAGTAACTAAGTAGATTTTTACAGTCAAAAGTGTTGTCACATTAGTACTGTTAAACAGTATCTATATGCAGGTCTTAACGTCAATTTGAGAATTCAACAATTAAGTAGTTTCGAATTGCTAAATAACTGCAGTTGACGCTTCATTTGCATTTGATTAGATTCTGTTTTATTTTCGATTATTTTTGGTATTTCGAAAAGGGATTAATTATATGAAGATGCATTTTTATTCCATATATTTATAACTAATTTGTAATATTTTACTTAATGAAGTATTTGAATGAAGAAGAGCCAAACAATATTGAATAGATCAAAGAAAAATATGGTATTTTTATTCATCTTATTCACGAATATAATTTTGCACAAAATTATATGTGACTTCGAAACAATTCACCATTTATTATTGCAAAATTAAATATTTCTTAAACGATTCTAAAGCTGCAATAAATATATTTCAAACAAATTATAATTGTCTGACTTTAAAACTGCCGCATGGTATCAATACACAATTCAACTTATGAGTTTAGTTTAGATAACAAATTTCTGCAACTAATTTTCAAAAACAATGCAAGTTTAGAACGTGTTTAATTTTCTTTAAGAATTCAAATGTGAAAGTAAATTACAGGGGCATGTTATTTTATATAATAAAAAAACGCTATAATGAATAATAAAGCTAATCTTGTATCTAAATCCATAAATTATAAGTGTTTTTTTTTTTTAATTTAATTTCGCACAAACAAAAAAGCCTGCTACTTCACTTAAAAACGAAACTTACCAGGTGCTATTTGATGTCAAACGAGCACGTTTTTAAAAAAAAGTTGACTTAGCTTTTTTCTTAATTTTAATTCAAAATTTATTTTACTTGCCTAAAAATTTTTATAAGTACAAAAAAAAAAAAAATAGCCCAAACATTTAATATTTTTGTTTTCATTTAATTTGCTTTGTAATTTAATGTGTAGACGCTAAGCTTATGAAATTCGAGTAGTAGTATAAGAGTTGTAATTACAATTTATCATATGTATTATACATACGTATTATCATACGTATGTATACGATTCATAATTATATTTTGTTGATTATTTAATTTTTGCTAGACTGAAAATAGTAAGTAGACGTCTACGTTATAAAATATGCTTCAATTTTGAAAAAACAAAAAATTATGCTAAGTTGCATAAAAACGTACGTATAAAGCAACAACATATACTCGTATAACAAACCTATGTCAATAAGTATATAAAGGCGCGTGTCTAACTTCTTTGTTAGTTTTATGATCGTATTTTATTTATTTATTTATTTATCTCTCTTCTGTTATTGTCTTATCTTAGTTTTCTTCTGCTTTGTAGTGTTAAGCTCTTACATTATTCAAATAAAGTTTCAGCCCATATAGCAAAATTATTGTAAAATATTTTATCTATATTTCTATTAGATAAAATTTCAATTTCGTTTCAGTTCTGTCCGTCAGAATCATATATAAAATTTACACTTTGTTTTTGTGTATGGATCAAATTATACAATGTAAGTATAAGATTTATAATTATGTATTTTGTTTATTTTAAAAATCATATAAGATTAAAAGAGTTAATTATGCTGAAATTCCATTAAAATTTCTATTACAAATATTTGATAAATTAATTTTTATTTAGTATTTATTCAACCAAAAAATTTTTTCATATAAAGAAAATATATTATTATTAAATGAAATGATACTTTAATAAAAAATAATAAAATATTATCTTAATATATATTTATGTGTACGAGATTACATAAATTCTAAGTTTTTGAGATTAAGTTACAAATTAATGTATAAATAAATGATTTCTTCTATTTATTAAGTTCTATTCTACAAAAACTAAGTATACATTTCGTTGTTTGTCTGATTAGTGTATAGAAACAAAGTATTTTGAATAGAATTTTATCATAAAATGTGTGATAATATTAAGGACCTGTTTAAATATCACAGAACGTGACAAAAACAGAAGTTTTAAATTAATTTAAATATAAAAGTTGTGTATGTATTAGCAATTATTTCAAAAAATTTGTAGTAAAATTTAATTCCTTTTGGTTTTAAAAAATGTAGTTAAACGTGTTAAATTTACTCAACATTATAAAAAATTAATGTTGTTTAGATGCCTTACATAACGTCCACACATAAGAATGCTTATGTTGTCGCAATATTAAAGTTAAATTCTCATATTAACTTATTATCATCTTACTTTTAACAAAGACTACTTATATTCTAAAATTGGTGAAGATTTTTGAAAAATAATGTGTTTGTATTGTAAAAAATTAGTATGCCCAGTTTTACTATTTCTATAGTGTGTTTGCTATATACTTTATACTATTGACTTTAATTTTTGGACATATTTTTTGTTAAATTTTTTGAATTTCAACGTAACAATTGAAGCGGTAAGTGGTCAGAGGGGTCAACTTACATTTGCATTGTGACATATTTTTTCTTTAACAAATTGTAAAACTATTAATTTTTTGTTACTTATCTACTATGTGCACTGTCAATTTCGTCTTTTATTAAGTTTCTAGTTATAAGAGTAATCACAGTTGAAAATATATGAAATTTAATGATGTTCTATCCGAAAAGCTCGATTTTCGTCAAAATGTTGGTTAACCCCTTTGTAAATAAATAAAACTAATCTATACCAATATGTTAAAAAAAATTCAAATCTGCTTTTGAACTGAAAATATTATTTAATAAAATATTATTTTAAATCTGAGATGCATAAAATTCAAAAAGAACATTTGTTTTTCAAAAAAATAGCTTTTACAATATCTGATTGCGCATATTGCCGGCAACTTAAATTGCTCTATATATTTTTATTATTTATAATTTTATGGTGAAAATATAAAAAAAAGTAATTTTACATCACGAACTCATTTTGTGTAGTTTTTCTTTTTACATTAATAAGCGTTGATATTAAAAGTATAATTTCACTCAGCAGGTGATTGATTGGACAGAACAAATTTTATAAACAATAATAGGGTAATCCCTTCTAGTCTAA